CCCACCGCCCCGGGATGACTTGCAACAGGACCTGCAATGTAGGAATATAACCCCACCGCCCTGGGATGACTTGCAACAGGACCTGCAATGCAGAAATATAACCCCACCGCCCCGGGATGACTTGCAACAGGACCTGCAATGTAGAAATATAACCCCACCGCCCTGGGATGACTTGCAACAGGACCTGCAATGCAGAAATATAACCCCACCGCCCCGGGATGACTTGCAACAGGACCTGCAATGCAGAAATATAACCCCACCGCCCCGGGATGACTTGCAACAGGACCTGCAATGTAGGAATATAACCCCACCGCCCCGGGATGACTTGCAACAGGACCTGCAATGTAGGAATATAACCCCACCGCCCTGGGATGACTTGCAACAGGACCTGCAATGTAGGAATATAACCCCACCGCCCCGGGATGACTTGCAACAGGACCTGCAATGTAGAAATATAACCCCACCGCCCCGGGATGACTTGCAACAGGACCTGCAATGCAGAAATATAACCCCAGCAATACCTCAGGTGGAAGCTGGTGTTTGGATAAGTATCAATAATATTTGGAGCCAGGACCACTGAAATAGTCCACCTCCCAACTGTGGCATTGCTTGTGTTCAGCTCAAACACTCTTCCAGCCCACCCAATCTAGTCAGGGAACCTGCAGTAAAATATCCATGGCTAAATCCTGACTAAAGCTGACAGAGTTACCTCCCTTTCTACACTGAGTTGCGGACAGAGTTTACTTATTGATTGATCAAAAGGAAATCAATACAGCTTTCTCCTCATCTTCTCCCCGATCTCCGGTCACCAGCCGCACAGATGCACAGCCCTGATTGGCTCTTTAATAGGAAACACAGCACCATGGCTCGTTTCCTCATTTCCTGGTCATGATATGGAGATAGATTTATTAAATTCATGACGAAATTGACAGGACTGTTCAGTGCCTCAAAACCATCACTTTCTTCATGGTGATACATCATCAGTCAGATTAAAATTTGAAGAAATAGATTTTGTGTACATCATCCGATTTAAAATTATTGTATTACATTACACATAAATTCGGTGGATTTAATTATTTTTTCTCATGGTAGTTAATTAGTGTAAACATGGTAACTGAACTGCTAAAAATGTGTTGATATCATCCTGTGTCTTTTGAACAAATTTACATTCAAATGTGAGGTGTCTTTGAGATCTAGAGTCTCTCATGCATGGGCCTGTTTCACAAAGCGATCTCAGTGCTAAACAATCATAATTCCATACTTTTACATAGACTGTAGTGAGTGAGTGAGTTGGGTTTAACGCCGCTTTTAACAGTATTCCAGTTATATCACGGCGTGTCAGCTTAATGTGGGAGGAAAGCCCGAAGTGATGCAGGTCTCAGACGTTTACCACTTCGGTGAAACCCACGAGCACGGGTATCGTGCTGACAAACCTAGAAACATAATTGGGGCGAACCGGGATTCGAACCCACAATCATAGGTTTCTGGCGTGGCCAAAGGACGCAATTCTGCTCAGCGAATCGCGGCCCCTTAGACGACTGGGCCACCCGTGCCCCTCATAAACTGTAACATTGACATTCACTAGTTGTAGTGCTGTGATCGTTTTAAGTGAAAGGGCACTCTGTTTCATAGAGTGATCTTAGAGCTAAGACAGTTGCAGGTCCCATGTTTATGTCTCCCCCACTGAAGTCATTGGAGTCGGTGTCAGCGTTCCCATCCTAATCCAAGCCATAACTTTGTTTTTCAACGAAACTTGGCATAAGGATTGTTCATCAGTTTAACTGGTGCCTTATGCCACTTTAGAATGTTTCAAAATTACAATTTCAACTTAGTCTAAAAAAACGAGGGTGGGGTTCGTTTCTGGCCCATTACTTTAAAACAGTTCAACATATTTCAATGAAACTTGGTATGAGCATTGCTCATCAGCTTAACTGGTGCCTTGCATTTTTTTTACTTTTTCTAAATTTATTTTGTATTTATCGATGGAAACAATTTGAACTTAATGCCAAACAACCCTATGCTTCGTTTCTAAGACATAACTCTCAAACTAATAAATATATTTGCTTGAAACTATACATGTGCAATGAACATATGCTCAACTATTGCCTTTTCATATTTTTCAATTTTTAGTTTTATTAATTCTTGTGTTTCCATGGAAACAATTTGGAAATTCTTAGAGACTTTCTACAAAGCATGAAGCATTTTTTTTATGGGTACATGTACTTGTTCAAAAAAATCATCTGTCATCATGACAGCTGTGACAAGTTCTATAGTCTTCTCTGCCAGGAAGAATCATCATGGCATCAACTGTAGTGCTGCTTCATTAAGGCATTAATCAGAATCTGTACTGGTATGTTTTCGCAGGTTTCTTTTAGGTTTTTTTTATTTGCAAACACATTTGTTATATAAGTAACTGTGTGAACTAATGTATATAAAAAAAAGGAGAGGTCGGGAGATATATTTTTAGAAACACATTCTATTTAGATATATGATAGTCATTGTGGTAAAATCACTTAATGGAAAGCGGCACCCTGTTTCATGAAGTGATCTTAGCGCTAAGATGATCATAACTCCATACTTTAACATAGACGCTCACTAGTTGTAGCGCTATGATTGTGTTATGGAAAGGAGCACCTTGTTTCACGAAATGATCTTAGCGCTAAGATGATCATAACTCCATACTTTAACATAGACGCTCACTAGTTGTAGCGCTATGATTGTGTTATGGAAAGGAGCACCTTGTTTCACGAAATGATCTTAGCGCTAAGATGATCATAACTCCATACTTTAACATAGACGCTCACTAGTTGTAGCGCTATGATTGTGTTATGGAAAGGAGCACCTTGTTTCATGAAGTGATCTTAGTGCTAAGATGATCATAACTTCATACTTTAACATAGACCCTCACTAGTTGTAGCGTTATGATCGTGTTATGGGAGGCAGCTATAAAGGCAGTGCAGGTCCCATGTTTTAATTTGGACATATCATAGGCAGTGGTAAGATCACTTTATAGAAAAGGGCACCTTGTTTCACAAAGTGATCTTAGTGCTATGAATCTCATATTATCGAGGACCATCATGTTAGCACTAAGATCAAATCATGAAACAGTTCCCAGAGCTGCTGCAGAAGAAGATAAATACTGATAAAAAATTAATATAACATTAATGAAGAATCAATTTTGTCATCCAAATGCCATGTTTTTCTAATTTGGATTTGAGAAAAAGTGCTTATAATTTTTTAAAAATCATTTCCAGTTAAAAATCCAGAAAATTTAACATTCAATATTTTTCCACCAATTAATTAGATAACAGCACTCAATCCCATTTATTTATAAAATACATTAATGATGTCACATGTACAACTTCACAAATCTTAAAATCACAAAACAAAACATGCCAATGCAGGAAAAAGAACCAAACACAGTTGAACAGCGAGGCTAACACACTATCCACTGGGCCAGTGGTTGTAGTTAACATTCCATCAGGTAACCTTGGTCCTTAAAACCTCCTCTGAAACGACCTTCAAACTAAGAGGTGTATAATAAGACCCCATCGTTTACATCAATGTATGGGAATAATAATGGAAGTTCGCTATCTTTAGATAGATGGCGCTTGAAAATAACTTGCTGGTAAATCTTACAATTTTTTACAACAATTTTATAGTCATTTCCTGTCTGTTCAACATTCTTCTCACCATTCTTATAGCGAGAGAAAATCGTTTCTCCATCACTCTTCACAAAAGTTTGGTTGGGGGATTCCTGAACAAATTGATGATGCAAAGATGTAAAACCCATACTTATGTGCTTCTCATCTAATTCTCCGTGCTTCAGTAAGCACATTCTCAAACTGAGGTGGAGGGAACATTCTTCATGCAATGGATTTACAAATCCGCCACAGCCTCCTCTCCTGGGAGTATTAAATTACGTCAGGTATGCCAGGGAATAACAGCCAGGTAGATTTTCAATAAAGATTTTTAACGATCTTCCAATAGAGGGCATCTCTCTCAACTGGCTGGCTGCTTCTGATCATATGTAGATATTGCCAGCACATTCTTGGAAGAGTTAATCAGTGTAGCTTATCTCAGCCGACTTGTGCATCTTGCCAACATGGACGTAAACTCCGATCCGTGAGTGTCAAAACGTGTGCTGAGACGGAATATAGTTGCTTTCATGCAGTCGACTTCTGCTTTGTGAATAAAGTTTTTGAAGGCAAGTGCGTCACTGTGTGGGCTTTGACTATTGGCTGTATGAGAGAGGATTATGGAGAGCTTGTCCGAGCAAGTTTCTAAACAGATAGAGAATGATATTGTTAGACTGTGTAGTACGCACAGGCATGAAGTCGACTTGGAGTGTATGCTACTGTGAGTGGAATATATAAATATCGATGTGATTTGACTGTCACTGCTAATTAAACACTTCACAGTTTGGACAGATTGTTTACACACACAGGGCCAATATCTGTGTAGGTATGGATTCCTAAGGGAGATGAATTTGTGAATCGGTGAAGAAATTTGATGGAATTTGGCTTTGAAGGGATTAGTGCAAGTCGTGATTGGCGTAAGGACACAATTGGCTCATACCATCCAGGAGAGAGACCTAGACACATGAACATCCAAACCAGATATTGATCGTGGTTCAGCGTGCGTAAATGCTCCCATACCTCACGCCAAAGCCATCTTAATAGAGAGCGGGATCGTGGTCAACAGTAGGGGCTACGCAGGGTGATTACTAGCAGTGCTAGAGGGAGGAGAGGTCGGCCTTGACAAACTACTACGACTACTACAACCATCGTCCAGCTTGTTCCCATAATGCCATGTTTCTGGCAGTCGTCAGAAGAAGGAATATAAAGCTATAATTTGTGTATTTTGTGCACTGTTTCCTGTGTCCAGATGATGCAAAAACTGCAATTCCTGTCTCCGAACTTCCGCAAAAATGGGAAATTATCAGTGTCGGGTCCGCCTGAAAAATCTAAACGTCGCAATTCCATGTTTTTAACTTCCAGGCACGCAGAAGACCTCATTGTCACCCCGTTTGCACAGATCCTGGCAAGTCTACGGAGTGTCAGAAACAATTACCTGGCGCTCACCAATGTCCCGATTCCAAAAGACAGGTATGTTCACGTTTACATCCGCTTCACTTTCTATGCCTCTAACTCCTTTCTTTTCAGATTCTGTTGAGATCCTTTTACTGCAAGTGTTTGTCTGTTCCCAGACTAAGTCAAGTTGTAAACTGTGTGCTCAGTGTCACACATCGGCACCAGTTTGAAACAGGAAGGGGTCAGACCCTGTGGTCGGATCCTTCTGAAGGTTGAATAACATTAGGTTCTTAAAATGTTGTAGTTAGAAATTTCACCATGTGATGGAATTTGATATATAAAACTTGATGGAAGAGTTGTGTCAGCTTTTCATGGACTTGATGCAATTAAACATCACTCGACACCTTCAGGGTGGAAACAGGGCAGTGTTGCATTGACTAAATACATTTAATCCCCGGCCAACTGAAGACAAATGTAGGATAATGAAATCAGTGTGGATGCGAGTTTCCCGTAGGCTGCGAGGGGAAACTGCCTTGCCTCGGTCACATCTCATTTATACCAGACAGGTTGGGCTGCATCCGAGTCAAAAATTAATTCCACTTCGGTCTCCTCCTCCGTGTGCATACTAAAGTCTGCCATTGAGGATTGTGTGAGTTTTGAAGAAACAGCTTCAGTCTAAACTAGTAGAATATGTGCACCTGACGTTTAGTTAGTTCCTGACTAGGTTCACTAAGCCCAGATTTGTTTATACCCAGTTATAAGCCCAGAATTGTTTAATATCCTGTTATGAGCCAACATTTGTGTTTATATCCAGTTATGAGACAACATTTGTGTTTATATCCAGTTATAAGCCCAGTTATAAGCCCAGTTTTGTTTATATCCAGTTATAAGCCCAGTTTTGTTTATATCCAGTTATAAGCCCACTTTTGTTTATATCCAGTTATAAGCCCACTTTTGTTTATATCCAGTTATAAGTTCAGATTTGTTTATATCCTGCTTTGAGCCAACATTTGTGTTTATATCCAGTTATAAGGCCACGATTGTTTATATCCAGCTATGTGCCCATTTATAACCAGTTCTAAGCCCAGATTTGTATATATAGACTTATAAGGTCAGCTGTGTACATATTCAAGAGCCAAAATGTCTTCATATCCATTTATAAGCCCATGTTTGATGGTTGAATCTTTGCCTTGAAGAGGTAGAACATTCTGGTGCAACATGTCCCTGGAAACCTGTCCACAATGTGCTCTGTACAGTTGACTTACTCTTGATCAGGATCCAAGTATCCTAGTTCTCAGGACATGTCCCAGAATACACCTGTGTGTGTCCAGAATACACCTGTGTGTGTGTGTCAAGAATACACCTGTGTGTGTATCCAGAATACACCTGTGTGTGTGTGTCCAGAATACACGTATGTGTGTGTCAAGAATACACCTGTGTGTGTCTCCAGAATACACGTGTGTCCAGAATACACCTGTGTCCAGAATACACCTGTGTGTGTCCAGAACACACGTGTGTTTGTCCAGAATACACCTGTGTTTCCAGAATACACCTGTGTGTCCAGAATACACCTGTGTGTCCAGAATACACCTGTGTGTGTCCAGAATACACCTGTGTGTGTCCAGAATACACCTTTGTGTCCAGAATACACGTGTGTGTGTCCAGAATACACCTGTGTGTGTCCAGAATACACCTTTGTGTCCAGAATACACGTGTGTTTGTCCAGAATACACCTGTGTGTGTCCAGAATACACCTGTGTTTCCAGAATACACCTGTGTGTCCAGAATATACCTGTGTGTCCAGAATACACCTTTGTGTCCAGAATACACCTGTGTGTCCAGAATACACCTGTGTGTGTCCAGAATACACCAGTGTGTGTCTAGAATACACATGTGTGTGTCCAGAATACACCTGTGTTTCCAGAATACACCTGTGTGTCCAGAATACACCTGTGTGTCCAGAATACACCTGTGTGTGTCCAGAATACACGTGTGTGTGTCCAGAATACACCTGTGTGTGTCCAGAATACACAAGTGTTTCCAGAATACACCTGTATGTGTCCAGAATATACCTGTGTGTGTCTAGAATAAACATGTGTGTGTCCAGAATACACCTGTGCTTCCAGAATACACATGTGTCCAGAATACACCTGGGTGTGTCCAGAATACACCTGGGTGTGTCCAGAATACACATCCGTTTGTCTAGAATACACATGTGCATCCAGAATACACCTCTGTGTGTCCAGAATATACGTGTGTGTGTCCAGAATACACCTGTGTGTGTCCAGAATACACACATGTGTGTCCAGAATACACCTGTGTGTGTATCCAGAATACACCTATGTGTGCCCAGAATATGCTCAATGTGCCCCAAGTACACCTTAATGGGATCAGAATACACCCATGTGTGTCCAGAATACACCTGTGTGTGGGTGTCCAGAGTACACCTGTATGTGCCCAGAATATGCTCAATGTTCCCCAAGTACACCTCAATGGGATCAGAATACACCTCAATGGACAAAACTGTTGGCATTTTGCCGACTTTAAGGGCTTCCTCCGCAGTATGTATAATCCTGGTGTGGGGAAGATATGCACCAGTATTCCTGGAGCTCTCTGCGTCCCCAAATACAATCCCCTTCATACTATTCAGTCAAGTCTTGTTTATCCGACACTCGTTAATCCGACAATCGGCTTTATCCGACACAAATGATGGGAACCGCACTCCGACTCCGACACACCTAATTTGCAACGATTTGCTGAAATCACTCATTAATCAGCCTCGTTAATCTGACACGGTGATCAGCGTACTCCATGGTCATCTGCCCGCGAGTACATAGCCCCGTGTTTTGATGCGAGACGAGTCGGCGAGTAGCTGCATATTTAAAAGGCTGCAGAGATAAACTTTGTGTTTTGTGTTAAACTTTAGAGGTTGCATGATTAGAAAACATATTCCGCGAACAATGTAACACAACAATATGAATATTTCCTTTTTCCTTTTTTTATTACAACATGTTTGAATCGTTATCTATCGTGTAGTTGTCCAATTTTAGATCACGAACGTTGATAATACCTAATTTCATTTATCCTACATAATCATATGCAACCAACAATGTCGGATTAACGGGACTTGACTGTATTCTTCACACTCCCTGTGATCATTTTTCTACCTACACATACTTTATCTTGTCATAATTAGTTCAGAGTGAGTGAGTGAGTGAGTGAGTTGGGTTTAACATCTCTTTTACATACCACTTATGTCACGCCGTGTCAGCTTGATGTTGGAGGAAAACCCAGAGTGATGCAGGTCTCAGATGTTTACCACTTCGGTAAAACCATGGGCCCGGGTATGGTGTTCACAATCCTGGAATAAGTATTGGGGCGAACAAGGATTCAATCCCATCATAGCTTTCTGGCGTGTCCAAAGGACTTAACTCTAGAATAGAGAATTTCTACAACAGCTACTATTGGAACTAAATTTCTGTTCCATAACACAGATCACTACTCTTGTGTTGAAAACATAAATATTCATGAAAAATATATGAAAATTACATAGACAGGGGGAGAGTTTGAAGTAATCCCATGATGCACTGGGACACTGAGACGTGATGTGAATGCTTATAAGCCACTTGTGTTTGACGTCGACACTCTGGATCTAATCTTGGCGACACGACGCAATATAAATATGCCAGGGATTGTGATATGTTGACGGAATTCATAGCCTGATCATCAACATGGCTGTTGAATCATTGGGAAAGTTAGACAGGGGTGTTAAAGTCTTTTGTAATAAGACAATATTTCTTTGTACATTGAAGCTGTTGCCATTGTCATCATGTGGATCGTTGAAGCTTGTGTGGGGAGTGACGTGTGCACAAAGTCGAAGAAATATGAGTGTTTTAAATCAGGATGATTTGCTTGTAAAATCTTCAATCCAAAGATCACAATTGACGTAGATTAAGGAATTGATACCTGAACTAAGTCTTATTTGAATAAATTACTCGTGGCTGAAATATTAAATATAAGATCTGAGGTGCCGATATGGGAATTGATTGTTCTTTGGAGCAGCGGATTCCTGTTCGCAAACGTCATTGCTTTATCCTTGACGTAATCACACAGAAAATAGGGATAAAAAACAAAGCATAGAAAACGCTGCTGTTGTATTTCTTCAAAACATGAAGGATGACAGTTTCTAGATCAGTTTCTAGATCTGTTGCAGGTTTTTACCATGTTAGAATCCAAGAAAGATTTCTTTCATCATTTAAGCAAAATATTCATAACGTTCTATTTGGTGGAGGGGTTAGGGGTGGAGTCTACTGGAGAACCCTTGTTTGTGCCGCCCCAGGTAATCTGGAAATTGTTAATCTGGATGATTTGAAAGTCCTTTCCAGATTGATGGGGTTTCCTAATGCGTGAATACCGGGTTCTACTTATAACCTCAATACACCAATGATTGTGTTGTTAATAAAAATTAATTGAGGACGATTTCAGCAGCAATGTTCATGTTGCATAATAGAAAATATTCATTGTCCAATTGCTGAGGTTGTCGAGATTTAAAGGTTATTTAAATTAATTTCAAATTTTCAAAATGAATTCATTTCAAACAGGAGATTGAAAGCAAGGGCCAACATAGCAATATTGATTCTGATTGCTGTGAGTTATGGTGGGAAATGAAAGGGGCTATGTCCTCCCGGCGAGAAACAGGTCTGTAATTCAGGTTGGACCTGCGCAGTTGATGCAGTGGTGGGTGGAGAGAATCCACAAATATCAGATAACTGGATAAATCCTCCCTGTATAGCGGTTGAAGGGTTTCACTTCTGGGGTCGGGTTTCCCTGCCCACTATTTCATAATCTAACAAATGGGTCAAGTCGCATCAGGGAACTACCAGATACTGCTGTCTGTCTGTTTGTGTCCGTCTGTCGATTTGTAAGTCTGTCTGTGTGTCTGTGTTTGATATTTGTTTGAGGTGGAATATTTTCAGTCAGGTTCACCCCAATAAAGACATTTTGGAAAAAAAACACATTGTTTTTCTGTACATCCAGCATTTTCAGGAACAGTGTGCGTGTAGCAAATGTTATAT